CTCCAAGGACTTCACAACCAAACAAGTGTAATAAAAGCTACAAATCCTAAAATAAATGCAATATCCTAAAGCAATTAAACTAACATGAAGTAAAGAACAGAAAATAACATGCCATGAAGATTAAATTTGCAGACAACAAAAAAAGTAAAATAACAGACAATGATTTTAACTACGCAGCCCATAATGATAACTAAAACTAAAGAAGAAACTATGAAATGATTAAAGTCTGGAACTTATAAATTTAAATCTGGAAATTGAAATTAAACAAACTGCTTGTTTGGATATTGTGCAGAAACAAAAGAACAAAGGTAGAAAACATTCATCCTATTTACATGAACGAATAACATAACTAAATCCATAAAAGGAAGAAGAACTAACCGAATCAAAAGGGCAGTCCTGTTTTGAAGGCTAAGTTGCTTCCAAATGTTTAAAAACTAATCTAAATTGGAATTTGCAGAAGAAAATATGAACAAAGGTGAACAAACCTAGGCTAAGGCTATGAACTAATTTGGAAAATCTGGAAAATCTGGAAACTATTGCTGAAATCTGGAAAATGCAGTCTAAAAGCTGAAAAACATGCTCTAGGCAATCTCTGTGTGTGTTGGGCAAGCCTTGAACTGTTCTCTTCTCTCTGTTTTTGTTCCCTTCGATGCTGATAACCTCTTCCATGATCTTCTCCATGATCTTCGGTACTGTTCCTCCATTTTCGGCACTGTTCCTCCATGATCTGGTAATGGGATTGCAGGTCTAGTAGTTATTTAATAGTTATTCGATTTTTATTTAGCCTTATCTCCAACAACCTTAAAGATAATTACCTAAAAATCCTCAATTTCCCATTTTAAATCAAACTCAAACTATCAGATCCAATCTTATCTTCTGCCACCTAAGATCCAACCTCCTTGGAAATCCGTCTGGGCCATTAAATTGTAAGCCAACCCAGCCCAAATCCAGCTTATTGATTTTCTTGATGATTGGGCTTTACCTTGACACGTGGCCTTACCCTATTGGTTTATTTTAGGTGTAAACAATGCCCCCCAACACTTGGTTTTATGGGAATAAATCCAAGTGTTTAAAGTTTAAATTACCTTTCAGATTCCAAAGGCCACGTGCAAAATCTGCTAAATTCCAAGATGATTGCAGCAGACATCCCCAACTTTTTCACAGCTGACTCTGTCTGAGCGCATCCAGCCATCCACAGCCAGTCATGGCCGCTCAATCAAACTTGCTCTCATTTTGGAATAAACACATGAAAGCAAATCAACTTATTTACGCATAGACAGAAGTATGAACCTGGCTCAGACAGCTTCTTGGGACTTTAAGTCTCTTGCCCCCCAGACTGTGGGGTAATAAGGCTTGAGATAAATTCCATTTATTTTTCTAGGATGAAGCTCTCCATCAAGTGACTCCAACCAATAAGCACCCCCTCTCAACACTTCATGAATTCGAAATGGTCCTTCCCAATTTGGGGACCATTTCCCAAATCTGTGATCTTTCTTGCCAAGAGGTAAAATTGCTTTCTAGACCAAGTCACCAATTGCTAGATTTTTACCTTTTACCCTCTTGTTGTAAGACTTTGCAATTTTGAGTTTTTGAGCTTGCAATCTATCTAAAGCTGTCAAACGTGTGTCTTCAAGGTCCTCAAACTCAAGCATCATGGCCTCATCGTACTCTCCAGACTGGAGATTATGCTGAATTGCTATTCTTAAAGACCTGGCTGTTAACTCCATTGGCAAGACTGCATCATGGCCATATGTCAAGGCAAAAGGTGTCATTTTGGTCGAACTCCTTTGTGAAGTTCTATAAGCCCACAGTGTTTCAGACAACAGTTCATGCCAGCGTCTGGGGTTGTCATCCACCATTTTTTCAAGCAAATTAATCACCACCTTATTAGAAGCCTCTGCTTGCCCATTAGCTTGTGCATAATGAGGGGTAGAATTTAACAGACGGAAACCCATTTCCTTTGCAAATGCCTCCACTTGATGGTTGACAAAAACTGTGCCTTGGTCTGTTGTAATTGTTTCTAGCAGACCAAATCTGTGAATAATGTCCTCTTTGATGAACTTAATCACATCAGATTGGTCTACCTTCTTCATTGGTTTAGCCTCCACCCATTTGGTAAAATAATCTGTTGCCACTATAATAAATGTGATGACCTTTTGATAAAGGGGGATACACCTTACCAATCAAGTCAATAACCCAGCCTCGAAATGGCCACGGTTTGACAATATAGTTAAGTTCCGAGGCTGGAACTCTTTGAAGTGGCCCATGGATCTGACAAGATTTACAGCCCTTAGCATAAGCAATACAGTCTTTCAGAACAGACGGCCAGAAGAAACCATGTCTGCGAATTAACCAGAGCATCTTGATTCCGGCCTGGTGTGCACCACAAATCCCATCATGGACATCAGACAGCATCTGGAAACTTTCATCTGGGCCCAGACAACATAGCAATAGTTCATCATGGCCTCTCCTATAAAGCACATCCTCAATCAAAACATAATTGAGAGCTTGCATTTTGGTTTTCCTAGATACCTTAATGCTTTGATCCTTAAGGTACTGAATAATTGGAAAGCGCCAGTCTGTCTGGGTAACATCAATGCTGCAAGTAGAAACAGTCATGCCACGTTGATGAATTGATGACAGACTGCGTTTTTCAACTATTACAACTTTCTGCATCATACCTTCAGGAATTCGCAGACCTGAAGCAATCTGGGCCATTTCATTAGCTTCATAGTTCTGGTCTCTAGGCACGTGTCTGATGGACACATCATCAAACTCTTCTAGCAATTGCACAGCCAAGGCAAAATAAGGGGCTAAAGCAAGGCTAGTACATTTGTACTCACCAGACAATTGCTTCAAGACTAGTTGTGAGTCCCTTATAACCTCAACCATGGATACTCTAAGCTCCACCAACATCTCAAGTCCAATAATCAAAGCTTCATATTCTGCTTGATTATTTGTGCAATCAAAATCCAGCTGGAAAGACATTTGTGTTTTTAGCCTAGACGGGGAAATTACCACGACTCCAACTCCAGACATGGTTTCTGTACTAGATCCATCAAAATTAAGTTTCCTGGGAACTAAACTTATTGAAAACAAGTTAATCCCTTTTTCTTCATCTGCCTCCACGTCCAGACATGGATGATCTGCAAGAAAGTCTGCCAGTGCCTGCCCTTTGACAGCCCTCTGTGGTATATACTTCAAATTAAACTCAGACAAGGCCAGAATCCATTTACTTATTCGGCCTCTTAACAAAGGGCGGGACAACATATATTTGACAATATCAGTCTTGGCCACCACATACACCTCAGAATAAATCAAATAATGTCTTAATCTTATTGCAGCAAAAAAGAGAGCAAGACACAACTTTTCGACCGAAGAGTATTTCACTTCGGTCTGGGTCAAACATCGACTCAAGTAATACACAGCCTGCTCCTGTTTTTTTATCATTTTCCTGCGCCAGCAGATATCCTATGGACTCGTCTGCGCGGATATATATAAAATTAAAGGCTTATTTTTCACAGGCGGTACAAGTACTGGTGGTCTGGATAAGTACTGCTTTATCATGTCAAAGGCAGACTGGTGATGTTCTTCCCACTTAAAATCCGCCTCAGACTTGAGTTTCAACAGAGGAGAAAAGACTCTGGTTTTCCCAGCCAAATTAGAAATGAAACGTCTTAAGAAATTAACTTGGCCAAGAAATCTTTGCAATTCCTTCTTGTTCTGTGGTGGTTTCGCCTCAATCACAGCCTTGGCTTTGTTCTTGTCAACCTCCAGACCACACTCATGCACCAAGTACCCAAGCAAGTTACCCGCAGACACTCCAAAGGCACACTTTAGTGGGTTCATTTTCAAGCCATGTTGCCTCATCCTCTCAAAAGCCTTCCTCAAATGGACCAGGTGGTCTGCTTCGCCATGTGACTTCACCACAACATCATCAATATAAATTTCCATGAATTTACCAATCATATCATGAAAAATTGCATTCATGGCTCTTTGATAGGTAGCTCCAACATTCTTCAGACCAAATGGCATCACAACCCATTCAAAAGTTCCAACAGCACCTGGGCATCGAAAGGCTATCTTAGGAACGTCTACGTCTGCAATAAAATTTTGGTTGTACCCACTATGACCATCCATGAAAGATAGAATTTTGTGACTGGCTACTCCATCAACCAACAAGTCTGCAATTGGCATAGGATACTCATCCTTTGGTGTAGCTAAATTCAAGTTTCGAAAATCGACACAGACTCTTAATTTTCCATTCTTTTTCAGCACAGGCACACAACCATTCTGCATACCTTCATGTTCGAATGAATCCAGCTTTTACCAGCCGCTCAATTTCTTCTTTCACCTTCAAAGTGACTTCCGCAGACATGCGTCTGGGCGGCTGTTTATACGGTCTGAATCCTTCTGCAATTGGCAGTTTATGTTCCACCAGTCTCCGATCCAGACCTGGCATTTCTGAGTAATCCCAAGCAAAACAATCCTTAAATTCATGTAGAAGTCTGACAACTTGATCTCGTGTTTGCGGCTCAAGGGAACCGCTGACAAATGTTACCTTTGGCTCACTTTCAGACCCTAGATTGATCTCCTCCAGTAGGTCTTGAACTTCAGCTTTTAAGTCATCCAACTTGGCTGGGGCAAGATCCAGCTCCTCCAAAGTTATTTCATCACCCTGGTCTGCCTCCTTGCCTTCATAAACAATTTCAGACCTGTCTACTTGAACTGCTTTTTCAGCAAAATAGGCCGCTAATTTCTTTGTTATCTCCAACACGGCCTCTTCTCTTTTTTGTCTCAGACGAGCTTGCTTCATTAAATTTCTTCAATTTTTAGTTTCCCCTTCGGCCTATAAGGAATTATTGTTGTTGGTCGAAGAAGTTCATCACAGAGTTCCTCCACAACACGCTTAGACAATGACGGTCTGCTACATGCTGTTATCCCAATCGGCTTCCCATGTCTGTCTATCCCAAAAAACCGAATGGTACCAATGTCTTCTTCATAATATCTAGCCTCCACCAGGTGGGTAGTGGTTGAAAAAGGCTTATCATCTGCAGACACGACCTCAACCTTGCCACCATTCTAGAAAATCAGTTTCTGGTGAAGTGAAGAAGGGACACACCAACTTGAATGAATCCAGTCACGCCCCAAAAGTGCATTATAAGTAGCAACAGTATCCACCACAAAAAACGCAGACATCAATGTCCTATTTCCCACTGTTAATTCAACAGGCAGCACACCCCTTGAATGATTCACCCCTCCTGTAAAATCACTAATTGTAACCTCAGTATGCACTAAATCATCAAGAGACTTGCCTATTTTGTAGAGCATGCAAGTTGGAAGGACATTGACTGCAGCTTCATTATCCACCAAGACACGGCTGATTGGAGTCCCATGCATGTGAGCATTGATATAAAGTGGCCTAATGTGTTTGGCCATCTTTTCTTCTGGTTTTTCAAACACAATTTTGTTAGTCATGTCCTCCTCTTCATCATCCTGAGCTGGAACAACAATTACCTCTTCTTCTGTTTGTTTTGGAAACTCACAGACGATTGGTTCCTCCTCCTTCTTGGCTTGGAAAACCAAGGGTAATGTCAGCACCAGACATGACAAATTCACTGAGAATTCCCCAAAATGAATAGTGCCATCTTCTTTTGATTTAGCTCCACGATTCTCAGACTGTTCTTGTGCTTCAAAAGTTGCTTTCAAAACTCCGTCTGGACTCATAATGACAGACGCCACCTTTGGAGAGGCTGAAGATTGGTTATCTTCCTTCTGTAGAGTCTGGGTTACAGCCTCCTTTTTCTCTTTTCTCACCCAGACCATGTTCATTTTCATAGGTTGGCGTGGTCTGTGAGATGAACTTCCCTCAGCCTCCACCTGCTTCTGTTGCCTTTTTCGTTCTTCAGCCCTCTTGTGTTGCAGTCTGCGCCTCAAGGTTCTCGGATTCTGGGCTGGAAACTTGGGATGACTAATTTTCTCCCACCGTCTGGAAGGTGACCTGAGTGGCGGTTTGACCATCCTTGGAGATCTAGTACTAGTTGAATAACGTATGGCACCTTCTGGACTAAAGTTCCTGGTCACAGTGATCTTTTCTTGCCCCCTGAGCCTCTGCTGGTCTGACCTGACACTCCTGCTATGTCTGGATCTCTGTGCCTCAAGAACCCACCTTAAGTCTTCTGCAGCAAGGTTCCTTTGAGCATAAGGCAGACTGCGATTTCTACAACACTCCTGAGGTCTGCAACATTCACGCCGACAAACACAGCTGGAAAAGGGTCTGCATCCACTCCCATGGTTTCCTTCACTTTGTCTGGAGATTTCAAGATACCCTTATCAATCTTTTCCAATGGCCTCAAGGTTGGCCCATGGTCTCTATTGAAGAATTGAGCTGGTTGATTTTGTAGACCACGCTGTACCGATTGGGCTGGTGGAACTTGTGGCTGGAAAAAATCCTTGGACAAGGTTGATGATGAGGACCCACATTTCCCTTCCTAGCTGGCAGAATATACTTATGTTGAGGTTGATGGCCATGGTTTGCAACAGGAGTAGCAGCCTCCATCTATTGGTGTTGTCTTTGCCCTTCACCAATGACAAAATGCTGCTGTTGAATATTGGGATGAGGTTGATTCCCTTGCCCCCCGAGTGCTAAGATTGGGGCTTTCTGAATCTGTCTGGGCATTTCAACGACTGGAGGAAGGATCTCAAATCTGGGCTGTCGCACTTGCTCAACCACTTGTTCTAAAACAGCCTGCAATGGTCTGTGACTTTCTTCCCCAGTTTCTCGCATCACCCTAGTGCCTTTTTCAAAGACCCGTCTCATCTCTTCTATACATTGTCTAATTAACTCTTCCTCACGTCTGAAGGATTCTGCTTGACTCTCAACAAGTCTCCGCATAGCCTGGTTCTGTTCTTTGAATGCTAAATCCAGACGCTCAGTCATACCTCTAAACACATTACTTGATTCAGCAAAGTCATCTCTGCGGTCTGCATCCCTTTCTTTGAAAATTGGATTGCCATAGGACCGTTTTGCCAAACGTGACACTGGGAGAAAAGTGATGGGATCATTTGCATGTTCAGCCTGGGCTGGCTGAACCTCTTTGTCTCTGCTCTTTCTGGGTGGCATGGCTTCAGACGCCTCTGAATGTATGAACAGAGGATTTGTGAACTGTAATTGATACATCCTGCTGGTGGTCCCACCGGGCTTGCCAACAAAGGATTGTTTCCTCAAAAATCCTCAGCCGACCTTTACCACGTGAGTTGGATGTTAGGCGTGCCACTTGCTTTGTCTAAAAACAAGAAAATAGGATTTTCCAGACGACCCTTCTCCTTTTCAGCGGTCGACCTCCAATAGGATGACTGGAAAAAACGTCTGTGAAATGAATTGCGCCCCAGACGATGTTGCAAAACAGAGGGTAGAGCTCTGCAAAATGGGTTACTAATTGC